TTGCCACTACGATCATCACTCGTTCAGGCGCAGATTATATCATTTTATTTCTGCCTATAAGGAAAGCAGCCTTTGTTCTTTTTGTCCCCTCTACTCAATTAAAGACAAACAAACAGGCATAAAAACCTTCACGGCACTAATGAACCCAAAATAGTCTGCAATTAATTTCAAATTCACTGCTAGTTTCAAAAATTAGCTAACACTGCAAATTGCACTGACCATGATCAGGCCCTTAATAACAAGGCCTATTGTGTGAAATGTGCAAGTCAGCAGAAACACAAATGAAAACCTTCCGGCTTCAAACACTTCTATCCGCATGAAAACAAACAGAACAAGATGAAATCTGAAATTTCAAAAGGGCTTTAAGCAACTATATCTCACAGCACATCAATTAATAAGTCACTTCAAAGTGCACTTTCTTTTGTGTATACTCATTTTTTTCTGAGATCAACCCATAGGAAGCATGTCAGCTAAGTTTTGCCTTTTTTCCTAAAACCTCAATAATAACATACCAGAAAGTCTTAGGCCATCTAGGGGCTCATGATCGTTAAGTATATAAATGACCTTTATCTTTATTATGAGAATTAATTTGAAAATAGGCAAAATTAAACAAGTTCAAAGTATTATTTGAACTAACACAAAGATGCAACGTAGGATTATTATCTTACAGGGGACCATTTCCCTAATCCTGTTTCCAATCTAAGTATTCCTGAGATTTCTTTGCTTTTTAAGTACTGTAACAACTAAGTCACAAATTTACTTTCATTTTCACTCTCCTTATATATATTCACTATTTATTTAGTCAAGGTAATATAGACTTGCAGTAATCATTTCACATTATTTGCATTTGCTGTTGTTATTTGTTTGCTTCTAAAGCAATGCAACTTTGAACTATTATTTTTGAAATAGTCCAAATAATTCAAACAGCCTGCTGAATCACCGTGCATCTTCAAGCACCATACTCTGTGGCTTTAAATTCCAGTCTTATCACTTGTCAACTGGGGGAAAATCGCTAAATCTATTTAATACTTGGATTTGTTGGTCATATAATAGGGATGACTACCTACGTCACAGGGACAAAAACTGCAGGGGCAATCTGTAGTACTGACTAGAAGAATATGGAAAAGATATTTCTTTCCTTCAGTAATTGTTCTGTTGATCACCAGTTTCCACAGAATCCACACCCCGACCCTCTCCCGGTCTCCTCGGCGGCTCTGTAACTCATGGCCAATCTTTTTGCTCTTCTTCAGTTTTCATCATTTGCTGCTTCCTGTCTTATAAGAGTGCACCTTCCCCTCACTGAAACTCTTTCTTCAATGCCCTCTTAATGAAAAATTTCTGCAATACTTCCTCCTACCCTTTGTAAAATCTCATTCCACATTCTTAACGACTTTCCCAACAAAGGAAAAGCAGATGCCCTCCCCAAAACTCCAGATGCCACACAACGTCTGACACCACATATAGCTAATCTTATACAAACTAAAGATTCATTTTTTTCTTCCCTTAATTTTTTTTCTATAGCACATGGTTCTGCTTATGAACGTTATACATACAGTCAATTATCCAAGCTAATGGAGGCGAGCAGTGGGAGAGCTAATTAAGAAGAGTAGATAATCTACCCTGCTATTAGTGCAGGTGTCAGCAAAGAGTCTGGCCTGAGACAGCACCGTAGTGGGTGTGCGGTGGGAAGAAGGCAAGCTTGTAGTCCCAAGCTATAGCAGAGTGGCAGGGAAAGAAACTACGGAGCAATGGGGAGACCAAGCCTGGGGAGGGAGGAATGTTCAGACAGGTGATCACTCATCAATATGAATGTTGTGGATAATCCGGAATTTCCTATTATGCTTAAATGCCTACATGGAATATGATACTAGTCTTAAGTCATATGTTTGATTTATACCATGAGCAGTTAGTTTCCCCTGCTCCATCGGTTGTATTTTAAGGTGACAGATCCTACTATCAGCCCCAGAAGCCATTGTGCCCTTGTGATCAGTAAAGGACTGGCATAACCCAACACCACCAGCACTGGGAAATCATTTAACACACATATTCTATTGATTACGGGTCACTGCCATTGATTTTGTACATACAAGCCAGAAAGTATACCCTAAAACTATGACCAATTGGTTTTTAATCCATTTTCTTTCAGCACTGTTTCAATCAAGTGGTCTGTTCAAATGGGCAAGAATATGTGAGCATCTCTTTACTAATTCAGTAACTATTTCATAAAGGCCTATCATATGGTTTCCCGACCTAACAAAGCTTATGTAGTGGTGAGATCGTATACCTTCAGGATGGCAATGAACTCTTTCAACGTTCTAAAGACATGATAAGTATTTTAATACTCCACATATAGAATAGAATCAAAATCATCTACCAATGAAAACTAAAGAAATATTAAAATCTACATGGGAGAGTAGCAAGAGTAATCCAGAGTGCTCTATTTAGTGCCTTTAAATAAAAACCCTGATACTAATGGAAATTCTTCGGCAATCTAAGAGCTTTTGTCTTTTTTTTTTTTTTACCATCAGTGGTTTCAAAGGAGGCGACGAGTAGCAGATGCAGACCTTTCAATTTACAACCTTCTTCCCCACAGCTTTATGCTGTGGTGTCCTTTGGGCAGAAACACTGCAGGGTCTCAACTAGTGTGTATTTCAATTACTGATACTGTCCTGCCCTGATAGATAGGAAGCGATAAAACAACAAGCAAGAAATCATTTTTCATAATTCTTCAGAGTCCAATCTAGCCTCAATCCTGCTTCTCTTGCAGACCTTCATGCCATGGAAGCTGAGTTTTAGTGGATTCTACAGCCTCAGAGTAGAATCACTTCACATATTTTTCAGTAGATTAGCCTCTGGAGTATTTCCTTCTCACTTGCAAAGTCTAGGAAAACAGAGTATAGCCTATGAGCACTCTCACTGAGGCGACATAAACATCAAACAAAATATTTAAACAACCTTGCTGTCCAATATTTCAAACAACATATTTTCATTTAATAAACATCCCCAATTTTTTCCCAATTGGTTGAAGGAATCTGGAATATTTACATGAGACATTCAAAACATAAAATCCCAGTGGATCTGTGTACCGGGAATTATGAAAATTATGAAATTTCTTTGCTTAAAAAGTTGAGTGTCCAAGGAAATTAAACTGCAACTTGCCAAAAAATAACCTCCTCTTTCAAAGAAGAGAATCAATCATATATTGAAGTATTAAAATTTAATATAAAGAGTCTGTTTTAATTGGCTTCATCTTTTGAGGTTAATAGGTATTAACTTTGATTTTTATAAAATATTTCCATGTTAATGACTCCAAGATCTATTGTTGCAAGGATTTTCCTGAGGCACATGAAGCTAAGGTTTAAAGCAGTTAAGGGTGCTTGAATTCCTTTACAAGCCTATTATAAGCCAATATTCAATCAAAACGATTATTGCTAGCCATTAAAAAATCTACTAAGTATCAGGGGTAATAACTCTTGCATGTTATTACTGGGAATTCCTACAAAGCAAAAGGCTTTTGTATTGCTGTTTGCAAAGACTGCTTAATTTATCTGACATCTTGCAGGGAAAAAAAATCTGCTGTTCAACCAGAAAAGAAAAAAAAGTAGTTTTGTCCCCATTATCTCTGAACAAGTAGTGTCAGGAAGCTTCAGGCTAGAATTAACATAAGATAGGCTATTACAGTTGTAAGAGCATTTAGCAGCCTTCCCCACTGACTTCAGGGTGATAATATATACAGCTCCGTGTAATCTGTCTCTTCTGCTGCTCTTTCTTTGCCTCTTGCCTCCTCTCATTCTTTACTAATATCCATGCCTTATTATAAAGTGTGATAAGAAGTAAACAGCAGCATTTTTCTGCTAAAGTGACACCATTGGTTCAAGTCATAGAGTCACTGCTTATATGGAACCATTTTAAAAAGCAAACATTCAGGTATAGAAATAGTCCATGACTTATCCTCTAAAGATTAAGCTACTATATCCTTTCTGCTAGAAAAATTGTTTTCAGATATTGCTAACTTGCACAGAGAATGCAAATATAGTTAAACTGAAGTTTAAGAAAACAATCACTTAGAATGTGTTATCTTAGTTCACGAAATAAAATGCAACAGTGTTAGTAAGAGGTGAAAAATGTTCCTTGGTGATTCAGAATATCCACGATTATTATCGTAAATAATATCTACCTGGAACTGAGTATGGCTGAAAGCACATTTAAACCAAGGCAGCCTTTTCCTTGAAATTTACAAGACAGAGTATACAAGAAATGTTTGAGCATTTTTGGTTCCTGAATTTCTCCAAGTGTTTCTAGTTTAATTTCCCTTAATTTTCCTTAAACTAATATTATTCCCCCTGAAATTAAAAATGGAAAGCAAAACAAAAATGACACAAGTGTGTAATTCAAAATTTGTTAAAGCTTAAGCATCATAAAAATCCAAAAAATAGCAAAGCTAATATAAAGTAAAATTATTTTGATGAAATTTCTTTTAATCAGGCGTTTTCAGTCTGTTGACATTTAGAGCCACATGGTACTTTGCTGTGGGGGACCGTACCTTGTATTATAGAATGTTTAGCAGCATCTCTGGATTCTACCCATTAGATTTCATTAGCACCCTCCACCCTACACACCATGGTTGTGACAACCAAAAATGTCTCCTGAGGGGCAAAATCACCCTCACTGAGAACTACCGCTCTAGGTGGAACACATAATCTAAATTAGACTAAATTTATTAATGTTTAATTGTATCATTAACACTGGAAAAAGGAAGTATCACCAAACTCTCAGTTGCAAAATCCAATTTGTTTTTAGAAAATGATACACGTGCTAGCTGTGGCAAGACAGAGTGGGGCTTCATGTACATTTCCTATACACATTCTGGGACACTGAAATATTATTATGCATATCCAGGAAACCCAAGATCCAAATACCATGAACACCATGAACATTTATAAATACCATTGTCTTAGCTTTCTCTGGCTGCCTTAACAAAATACCATAGAATAGAAATGTATTTGTTAAATAATAGAAATGTATTTGTCATAGTCCTGGAGGTTGGAAGTCTGAGAGTAGCATGACCGGGTTTTGGTGAGAGAACTCTTTCTGGCTTGCAAGTGGCTGTCTTCTCACTGTGTGCTCACGTGACCTCTTCTTTGTGTGTACAAGACGAGAAAGAGAGAGAGACCTTTCTGGTGTCTTGTCTTACAAGGGCACTGATCGCATCACAAGGACCCAATCCTCGTGTCCTCATCTAAACTCAGTTACCTTGAAAAAGCCTCTCCTCCAAATACTGTCACACTGGGGCGTATCTGTTTCTCTATTCCTGGAAGATAAATGACTGTCAGTTACTTTTTAGAATGTCATACATGTTGAGTGTTCAAATTAGATAAGCATTACTGACACTTTTGTTCGTATAGTTAAATTTGAATTATTCTGGGTTGAGAACTTGTCTTTTTGTGTTTTATTCATACATATATAAAATAAAGAGAAAAAGTAAGAAGGTGCAAATTCATTTACCCCTAAATTACCTAAGATCACAAAAACCACATAAAACAGTTTCTTACTATTTACTACAAAATGATTCTATACTGTTAGACATCTGAATGTGATTACTTTTGGACAAGGGGAAGATTTAGTGACTCTAAGGGGTCTGAAGGGACCCTCTGAGCAGACTCGGTGACTGAGAGTATTCTGGGGGGTCATTTCATAACCAAAGTTGGGTACACTTTATGATTCATCAAGTTGTACACCTAGGATTTACAAAGTTTTCTTTATATAATTTATACTGTAAGTCCAATGTTTAAAAGCTTGTTTGAACACATAGAATCTGAGTCACACATTTATTGCTTTTGTGGATTCAAAGATAAATAAGATCCTCAGATGGGTCAAAGTCTAAAGAAAGGTTCAGACCTGTAGATAGACTGCACAATGCAATGTGATAAATGACATATATGAGCAGAGTTGTTTGAGAACACGGACAGTGAGGTAATTAACAGTGCCTGGGAAAATCAGGAAAGAATTTCTGATAAGTAGTGTCTGAACTGGTTAGGAAGCATGTTAAGAGCCCATCTTGCTACATATGAGTTATTGTAGAGTAAGTTAGCTTCGAAGAAAATGTATACATTCAGGTTAATTGATGATATATGGATTTCAGTTTTCAAGTTGTTTCTATACTTTTGATTAAGACAAAAAACATGAATCAGACGCAACTAAATAAAAAATCTCTTGCCTTATTACCCAGAACTTTATTTAAATAGGAAAGTACTGAATAGTGGGTAGGCATGGATATTTGTTTATGCTCCATCTTTGGTGGCTTTGTCATTGAAACAAACTTAAAAAAATGTAACAATTAACAGCAAAGGGTGAGGAAACAATAGAAGAGATGAAATAATAAAACATCACATAAATGCTGATGGAGTACATTATGCAAATTGATGCTATGCAAATACTTAAGCATTGCCTTCATAGTAACAAGATGAAACTATGAACAAATTTCTTTGAAAATGATTGCCAACCATCACTGACTGATCATGAATACAAAAATTAACCCTTGAGGAAGAGTAATGGTTATGTTCTCATAGATCTAAGTTTTAACTTGGAAGGAAACACAGACTTCTAGAAGCAGAGTTAACAGCTGCAGCCACATTGTAACCAAAGTTTGCGATCCAAGAGGTACAGGTCTCAGTCCTGTCTACTAGTAAAGGGGCTGCTCCAGAGAAGTGTGAGAAAAAAGATCACTTTTCCTGAAATTAAAAGTTAGACACAGGAATCTGTGTGTTTTCATTGGAGCTGTATTCTTGCAAATTATTTTTCACTGTCAAAGCCGCTTTTGAATGATATACTGGAAAAATTATTCAACCAGGAGTACAAATCAAATTATTTAAAAATCCTATTTACTTTACTAGGCACAATATTAAATTGAGTATTTCTCATTCTTCCTCTTTGGCAAAGTTCTTTCAAGATGGAACACTTGAACTAGTTAACTCTCACATGTGATCCTGAAAGCTTAAACTCTGAAATGCTGGCATTCTTACAATCACCTATCACTTCATATTTCTCAGTCTCTTGGTCTACACTGCATTTCTGCTTTGACCTCCAACTAGAGATTCTCTAATTAATCTCACCCTGCTTAGCATCTCTGTGCTAATTTCACCCTAGTGGCATTTTCATCACTTTCATAAATTCTCTCCCTTTTTCATCTTTCTACTGCACCTTCAGTAACCAATCACTATCCACTTGGATCCACTTGGGTCAATACAGCCCACCTTCAATTCTCTATGATTACCAATGCCTCACACACTGACAATGAAGAATCACAGGACAATGTTTATTGACATTTTGCACACAGTTATGGTTTCTAATTTGAACTGCACCACTAAGGTGCCTACTGTTACACTTCTTTTTCCGTTCCTTGAGAAATCTGTTGTGAATGTTTACTCTTCAAATCCCAGAACATATCCTACACTGTTAAAAAAGATCAGTATCAGTCAAAAACTCTGTAACTCCTCCATCATGCCCAGGTATCTATATATAATGCCACACATTCTTTTTTCCCTTTTTGTCTACGAGTTCAGAATTTTCCTATTCTCAAAGAGTAAACTTTGACCCACGAACTGGAAATTTTATTCTCTTTCTTTCTCTGAGACCTCATTCCTCTAATTGTCCTCTTTCCCTTTTAGATTATTGAAACTCTGTTTTACTTACCTAATTAAAATAATCTGTCTTCTTCAATTTAAAAACAACTGCCTCCCACCCCAACCCCTTTCCCTCTGGGAAAAAAAAAACTTGCCTCAATATTACTACCTCCTCCAGTGACTGAACTATCACCTTCCTTCCTTTTGTGGTCAAACTTCTTGAAAGAACACTTTGTAATTACTTTTGTAAATGTCCTAAGTTCCTACTTACTCCTTGTCAATGGTATACAGAGTGGTATGAACCTGGCCTTAGCCTTTATAGAAGGCTATGGAAAGCTGTATGTCCTTGGGCAAATCATATAACTTTTCTAAGTCTGTAAAATTTTAATGCCTACTGTGACAATCTGTTAGAGGCATTACATGTCATAATGGTACCTAACACTTGTGCAATGCCTGCACTGTGTAAGTTCTCCATAAGTATCATCTATCATTATTCTTATTCTTTCATATTCTTATTCTTATTATTGCTACTACTGTTCTTCAACCCAGTATAATCCACTTCTGCCCATAACCTCATCCCCAATTATCCTGTAGAACTGCCCTTTCTAGAGTCACCAATGTCCTTCTAGTTGTTAAATCCAACATACTATTTTAAATGCATTACCCTGTTTGAGTATTAATATTTGATACCTATAGATGCTCTTGTCACTTGAAATACCTTCTTTACTCGATGTTTACAGTGTCTCTCTTAATTCTTCTCTCTGCTATTCCTTCATGGTCTCCTTTGTTGACTCCTTATTTTCAATGAGCTCTTAAATGCTGGGTTTCATCAACGTTCTGTCCTTGGTTACATTTTCTCCACTTTCTTGCATGTTCCTTAAGAAAGTCCTTCAACAAGGCTAATGGCTCTAGCTCCACATCTTCTCTAAGCTCTGGGATGTATTTCCAATTCTGTGCTGGAGAGCTTCCCATAGATGTCTCATAAACGTATTAAACATAGCGTATCTACAGTGGATTCATATGCATTCCCCCTAAATAATCTTCCTCCTACAAACTTTATCTTAATTGTCCCTATCTACCAGGCTCCGATTCTAATTTTGGTCAACTCAACATCACAACTGAAATATTCATTTTTTTATCCAGTAGCTTTGTACTTCAGTTTATCTGCCACAAGATTACCTTTTCAAACATAAAGTTATCACCACAGTATGAATGGACTTAATACTGCAGAGCTGTACGCTTTAAAATGGTTAAAGTGATCAATTTTATGTCATGTATACTTTACCACAATAAAAAGAAATGTAAGAAGTAAATGCATCAAATGCTGGCAAAAATTCTTCAGTGATTCCAATTACTATACTCTCATCATTGCAAACAAGATACTTCAAAATCTGGTTTTAATTTACCCCTCTAATTCCTCTGAGTCTGGTACTTCTGTCACTTGGATCTTCACACTATTTGTTGAACATTCTAGGACACTTCACCACTTTGCATATATTGTTCCCTCTGCTCAAAATATATTCCTTTCTTGGTCTAATAAACACTTAGTCATGATTTAATCCCTAATCTCTCTTCTGTTAAGTTTGCTCAGAATCTCCCAGGCAGAGCCAGTGACTTCTTCATAGTTACTCCAATAATAGCATTTTCTATACATACCTCTACTACAGTGTTTACCATCTATATTATAATTATTCATTTCTTCTCTCCCTCCCTATGAACACATTAATCACAAGACTATGACTCATTAGTCTTTTTATCCTTAGTTTTTAGTAGAATTCCTAGAACAAAATTGCTACTTTTTATGGGTTGCACAAATGGATGCATGAGTGAGAGTGTACAGGAAAAAAGTGACAAGTAACATTGCAAAAATCCCTGTTATAGTACTTTATTTAATCTAAGATGCCATTGATTCTCAGAAGTATCATTTTTTTGTGCGTGATTGTGAAGGAAAAAAAATCTGCCAATTAAACTATGACAAGCTTTCCTGAAACATAAATATTTTCATTTTATATTTGTTGAAAGAGCTCTTTTAGACTTTTTTAGATGTTCAAGAATTGTTAAATATAATTTATGCATACATTTAAAGGAGAATATAAGCAGACTGCATCGCTTTGAGGAGGATACATAATTTTCTAAGTCTCAATTCAATTGATATGGAATTCCTAAATTAGGTTTACTTTCAGAGACTACTCGTCTGAATCTTTTTGACTTATTCATCCATGAGTGTGTTTACACCCCAATAATCATCTTCTGTCCCACTAAGTGGGTTTCTGATGCACAGTTATTTCTCACATCTTCACTATTTTCTTCAAAATATTCATCTAGACTCTTGACTCCCATTCAGCAGGTTTTGATATCTGACGCTACATTAATCTTACCAGCAGGTGTTAATAGATAGGTTTCTTTCAGCAACAAGGGCTCATGCCCTTCTTTAAATGGTGCTTACATGGCTGGTTGAATGAAAATCATGAGGCTGCAGTTGCAATTGTCCACTCACACTGGCAGCAATAACAACTAAGACATCATAGTTTTGGATAATTGTGTTTTAAAACTGGTCCAATGCACGTCCACTAACTAATATCAAGAAGTAAAATATGGATACTCCTTAAGAAAGGTTCCTAAGTGTCTCTTCTAGAAAACATATATCCAGTCTAATAGCTCAGTAATTTTCCAACCATCTGTGTGTGTG